CTCCCAAAGATGTGCAGGGTAGGTGGATTGGCCATGGGAAATGCAAGGATAGGGAGTGGGTCTAGGCGGGTTGGTGTACACTTGATGGATTGAATGGCCCAATTCTACAGTGTCGGAATTCTATAACATCCTCAGAACATTAGCCTGGGATTACTAGTCTGATGATACTACCATGGTAGCACTGGCGCCCTGTGAGTGCTTCACCATTAGGCTCTTCTCCATTGTGCCTGAGACCTCTGCCTGAAGGCTAGGATTGTGAGGACAGGATGGCGGGGGTGGGAAAGAAAGACGAGCACACAGTCACCACCCAGCAGCTTTGGAATCGGGAGTCAGCTCAGATGAGGATCCAGGAAGTGAGCTGTATGAAGGAGACACATACTGGTACGTTCAAACCTTTCAGTCTGGCCATAGCTGCTGTCAGCCTCATCACCTTCAGGGCCAGTGTGAGGCGCTATTCCCCCTATAGATCAGGGGGTGCGGTCTTCAGTTGTGTATCTTATCCCTTAAGAGAGGGGGAGCTGTGTAAGTGCTTACAAGACAATATGTATGACTGGTGAGGCTGCAACGGGTGAAGGGCTGGCAGCGAGTGTAAACTGTGAGATGTCAGGCTTGCTACATTGCTGAGTGAGTGAGATTGACGTGAGTTATGAACATGTCAGTTTGATTGAGCCTGTTGCTTGGTGAGTGATAGTGGGGGGTGGTCTGGTGTGTGGAGCAGTGCAGGAGGCTGGTGGCTCAGCTGGTGTAGTGGGGCTTTCGAAGTTAGATTCACCTCCCTTGCCCACTCGGGGGAGGTCATTGAGCTTCTTTGGGAACTGTATCCAGGTCCTCGGGTGTGGGCACTGCTGGCACTGACCTGCCTCCCTTCCCCCGACCTCCATTCCTATTCTCTGTTCAGTGTTTACCTGGAGGTGCCTGTTGGGGATTTTCAATTTTTGGTGTTGGGAATGGTCAGTGTTTGGCATTGGGGACGGTCAGTGTTTGGAGTTGGGGATGGAGATGGTCAGTGTTTGGTGTTGGGGACGGTCAGTGTTTGGAGTTGGGGATGGTTTGTGTTTGGTGTTGGGGATGGGGACAGTCAGTGTTTGGAGTTGGGGATGGTCAGTGTTTGGTGTTGGGGATGGGGACCGTCAGTGTTTGGTGTTGGGGATGGAGATGGTCAGTGTTTGCTGTTGGGGACGGTCGGTGTTTGGAGTTGGGAATGGTTTGTGTTTGGTGTTGGGGATGGGGACAGTCAGTGTTTGGAGTTGGGGATGGTCAGTGTTTGGTGTTGGGGATGGGGA